ATGGAGGACCAGTGGAGTTTGCATAGGGATGGAGGACCAGTGGAGTTTGCATGGGGATGGAATTTTTTTTTTAGTCTGTTCTTCCTCCGAGCCCCCAGCACACCTTGTTGGTATGGGGATGCTGACAGCTTTACTAATCTTAATTATGAAACATTTAAATATTCAACTATCAATACTACTGTAATTCCTCTTTATAGACAGCTTTACCAATAAGGGGAACCATTTTCTCCTCCATCTAGGGTGCACAATGCCCAATCCACTCAGATGCTAAAACTATCACTTTGTCATTGACTATTACTTTAACTTAAAACCTACAACAATCCCCAGAGAGTCGTGTTGGCAGGTACTGAAGGTGGCACCAGAGCTGAGAAAGCATTCTGTCAGTGAACTCCAAAGGAAGGTAGCTAGTGCAGAGTATTCTAAGAAAGGCAACAGATGGACAACCCAGCAGCTTACTGGGATACAGCACTCTGTGAGCAGCTGGAGGTAATGCTGGGGGAATTAGGTACGAAACACAGTTGTAACCACTGACTGTCTCCCTTGAGGGTAGCCCCTCCTGCTGGGCTTCTTTCACTCAGTAGTAGAGCTCTTACAATGCCCAAGGCTTTAGTGCTGCTCCCTTCATGTAAATACAGCTGCTCCAGATGTGTTTTATGGCCCCTACCAGTCCTGTGTGCACTGCAGTCAGCTGTGGCTTTCCTCGGCGTGAGTTTGGGAAATATTTATTTATTTATTTATTTATTTATTTATTTATTTATTTTTTATTTTGTGCTGTGTCACTCACTGTCCTCTTTCTTTCCTCTTTGAGTGCTAGGATTACAGGAATTTACCACCTTGCTTGGCTAATGAAATCCCAGACAGGTACCTGACTGGCTGAACTATATTTCCAAAGCGATACATACATACATACAGGCTTCCCCAATGCTGAGAGTACAGTGCCTGAAATTGGGTGTGGTTCCTCGGGACCCTCCTCATGCCCACAGGACAGACTCGAAAAGCCCTGCTCTTCATGGTCTTAGGGAGCCTGGCCTCAGGCAGAGGCTGGGGGCTAGACCGGTCCATACCTTTACAGCAGCATGCACAGGGAGAGGGGTGCTGAGGGGGCCGAGCCCCTGCTTCCCGGAGTCCGACTGGTTGCTTGCCTGAGAGGCTGCATCATTCTTGTCACTTTCCGAGCCAGGAGCGAGATCCTGAAATCCAAACTGTAGTGTTACTAGGGCACAAGGATGGGAGGTGTGGCGTCACTCAGTGGAAGATCTGCTGTTTTCACCCTGACTTCCTGTCCTGCTAACATCAGGGGCGCCCTACAGGAGGCCACCCCAATCTGTCACATCCCCAGGGTACCACTGAGAGTTAAATGGGCAATCTCAGCACCAATTCCAGAAGATGGGTGTACTTCTGACTTGATCTGGACAAACTGGGGCATCTGGTCACCCTGAAGAAGAGTTCGTCTTATAAATAAGACTGAGAAAGAAAGAAAGAAAGAAAGAAAGAAAGAAAGAAAGAAAGAAAGAAAGAAAGAAAGAAAGAGAGAAAGAGGGGAGAGTGGAGTAAAAGTTCTGAGAAAGAAAAGAACAAGCAAAATGGGGAAAGGGGTATGTGTGCGTAACTATGAATAATACCTAAGTAGGTGTGCAAATATGTGTGTAAAGATAGAACTACATATACATGTCTCAGTGTGTAGGAAAGTTTGTATGTGTGCATATCATATATGTAGATATATTAAATTATGAATGTGTCTCAGTGTGTAGGAATATGCAGAGTATATGCATGTGTATTTGTAAATGTGCATGTCTCTTTGTTGGGCATATATGTGTGTATACATGTGAGCACATGTCTCTGTGTATATGCTTATGTGCATGTCTTTGTGAATATATACCTGTATGTGTGTGTGTGTGTGTGTGTGTGTGTGTATGTGTGTGCAGTGGTAAGTATGAGCACATTCCTGGGCATGTGCATGTATTCATGCCTTCATGTATGTGTATAGGCATGCTGATTAAATGTATATATATGCATGATCATACATATACACACATATGTATGTGTGTGTTGACAATATGTATGCATGTTCATACTCGTGTATGTGCACATGTCAAAATATAAATATATAAATATCTGTGTGTATATCAGTACACATCTGAGTGTATACGTGTGACTGTTTTTATATGCATGTTATATCAATATGTAGGTTAATATGAAAGGGGAAGAATTGCTGGGATACAGGAAAAAGTTAATAAATGTATATGTATATGTGCATGTGTGTTTATATGTATTAACATGGATTCATGTATTTTTGTGTCTCATAAAGAAGCATGTTTTTATGAGTGGTATGTTTCTGTCTACTGAGAGTTCCATGAAAGGAATAATTTTCTTCTCTTCCTTTCCTATATTCCTACGCTGTGACTCAACACAAAGGGGTGAGTCCATACAGCTCTCCTGGGGGCCAGGACTGAACTTCTCGGTTCTCCCCTGAACCCTGGCCTCTGTCACAAGTCCATGGGCTGCTTTTCTCACAGCCTCAGTGTCCTTGTCTGTCAAACATGGCTGCCGAGAGAAAAGACACACAGTCGCGCCTACATTTTCTCTGCATTGCTCAGGGCTTCACCCCTTCTTCCCACTTTGCTAGGGAGAAGCAGAAAAGAACTTGTCTTTTCCTCAAAGCCATTCTTAAATGAGAAGCCGAGGAATTTGCTGTCAGAAGAATACGTGCGAGCGATCTGAGAGACTGTTTGATGTTATCAAAGACGTTTGGCTGTGAAGAGGTTTGGCTCAGCATGGGCGTGCAGGGGAAGGGAGATACTTTGATGCTGAACTCTTGCACAAGGAATGCACATTCAGCTCTGCCTCGTACACCTCCCTTCCCCTCCCACTTCTTAGCAGCTTTATGTTTGCTCTGATGGAGTGGAGATAGAAATGACGGTGACCAGTGACCATCATGGTTTTGGGAAACTGGACCCTGAGTAAACAGTACTGCAAACTCCGCCCCCCCTCTGGATGGACATTCCAGTAGAAAAATAATTTCAAATGCTAGTTGAGCATCTCTAATCCAATATTCCAGTATTTGAAATGCTTCAAAATTTGAAACCTTTTGAGGTCAACAAGAAACCATGAGAAGAAAATGCCATAGCATAGGACTTAGCATCATGTACAAAAGTGATAAAAAGTACTATACATAATTACATTTAGGCCATGGGTATGTATGCACATCTAAGACAAAAATGAATTTTGTGTTTTGACTTGGATCTTATCCCCAAGACATATCATTATGAATAGATGCAAATAAATTCTAAATCTAAACATTTCTGGTCTAAATCTAAACATTTTGGGTAAGAGTAGATGTTTAATTCCAGTCCATGGAATAGTCCCTTGGTCACCAGGAAGAGTGAAGTCTTCTGAGAGGGGAGGGGGTGGCCTCTGTAACATTCTAGACAGGAGTGTTACAGAACCAGGGTCAAAATCACTACCACAACACATGTCAATAGTGTGAACTCACCTTCCCCACTACGTGTGCTCCCATCTGCCTCATGGACATCTCTTAGGGGGTCCAATGAGGCCATCATGTTTGGCTGAGGATAGTCCCCATCACATGGCTTCTTGAGATAGTGACATTCTGTGTGATCCTGGAATCCACACAGCTACCTAACCTTATGGAGCAATAGTTCCTTGTCTGTGGTCCTTGGCATCAGTGGTACTCATCTGTCAGAGACTGTGATCTTCTCTGAGGAGATATGAAGTGCCCAGTGTAGCAAGGGGCCCAGCCAGAGTCAGCATCAGGACAAGAGATGTGGTTTATTAAACTCATAATTATTCTTTTTATGTTTGCTTCATGTTTTTTGTACACATTCACTTTTCAGTACTTGTGGGTTTGTTGAGAAAGAATGAGAATTGTACTGAGTAGGAGTGGTGTCCTGCCTACAGGCTGGCATGGTAGACCCCTGCTAGGGCTAGAAGCAACAGGTGTCTCCTGCTTTGCTGATAGCCAGCTACGCCTTCTTCCGAGCCCCCGAGGTCCTCTGATGAATTTGATATCAGTCCTGCCAGGAGGTTTCTGGCCAATCATGTGATCTCCCTAAGTCAACTTACTTTATGCATGGGATGGAGATGAATGCATTTACTTGCTTACAAGGTAAGTTGGAAACGAACATTGTGAAGGCTTTCAATGTTTCTATGACCCACAATAGGCTGGGAAGGGACATTAAGAAAGCACATTATCAGGCGACTTTGGTGTGCTGGCGTACACTGTAATTCCATCACTCAGCCTGAGCCAGGAGGATCCCGAGTTTGAGAGGATCACACTACATAGTGAGACCCTGTCCCAGGATAAAACCACCAACAGCAGCAGCAGCAGAAGACAGGGGATATAAGCAACACCACCCACAGCAGTGTTGATGTGAAACCTAAGCCATCTGACAAGACCATGAGGCAGGGGCAGTCTGTTTTACCTGGATTGTGTCCAGAGGGCCAGCCAATGGAGCCTCAATGGCTTTGATATCTGGGGGTGATCCCACAGAGCCCTGGGGGTCATCGCTCCGAGTCTGGTCTGGGGAAAGCCCATCACTGCTGCTGTCCTCTTCAAAGGCAAATGCGTCTGCTGATTTGGAGAAACTCACCTCCGTACCTGAGCAAGAGAAGAATCGAGATGGGACCAGGGGCTCAGAGTACCAGAGAGCTGTTTAGGAAACACTGCTAAGCATTGTCCCTATGCTAAAGCACACGGCTTCGCTCTCCAGTGTATGACGAGTTCGGGAAAGAATGAAAATGTATTTTAAACAATTAGATTTTTCTACATGAAAATGTGTATTAAAAAAAAAAGAAGTCTGTTGTTGGGGCAAATGGGTGATGTATCAAAGCTTATCGCCGCGCTCCAAACTTGATTTCCAGACTGAGTCATTTCTCAACACTTTCTATGGAGCCTATGTCCTTTTGAAGCTAAATCAGGAAAGGCAGGAGGAATGGGCACACTGTGAGGCCTCTGGATGATAATGCGGAATGACTGCCCCTCTCCTTCGGGCTTTCTGGCATGAGAGAATCGAAATGACAGCTTGCCAGTTGCTTCATCTTCAAAGATAAAGTAGGGCACATGGTACAAAATGTTTAGCAAACTTAGCTAATAAGTAGAAGTGAGGCCAGCTACTAAGTTTAAATTCCTAGATGTCAGGCTTAGCTATCTTCACTGAAGGAGCCACCCAACCAAGACACCACCAATTAGAAAGGTCAAAAATCCGCCTCGGAGACTTCAACCTGACTCTTAATGTTCTCAGTGCGTGGATTTTATTTTCATGTTTAATATCCTGTGTCTTTGCAAGTTCTTCAGCACCCCCTACCCACCTCTGGACTTTTTCACTCTCCCCTGGGTTGTCTTCCTATGACACCAGAGAAGTTGTGTTGGAGACAGAGGCCATCAGCCCAGATGGGTCTGTAACAATATCCTGACCTGTCTCTCACACTTGACATCACCCATTCTCCTCCAGTTTGTTGTCTGGCTAAACAGTACACAAAGTGCCAAAGCCACAAAGCTCTCCTGACCCCATCCGTAGCACGGCCCTTCCAAAGGAATTTCAGAATTATCAGGAGCTTTTCCAGACCCTGTTCTGCAATCACACTCACAAGAACTTTTGACTCTTGCTCGGTGTAGATAAGAGACTGGAGCTCTCGCTGTGGCGATTGCGAAGGCCTCGAGGAGCTGGGAGGAATGGAACAAACGTGGTTTGGGGCTTGTCATCGCCACCGCTGTTGGCATGTGTCACAGACACTCTGGACATCCGAGTGTCAAATCAGGAAAGAGGCCAGGCAAGGACACAGCGAGTGGGAACTCCAGTAACTAACCCAATGGGAAGCCCAATAACCTGGAGGGGCTTGGATGCCAGCACGTCTGCTCCCATGGGTCATGCATAGATGTCACTGTTGCTGGGATAATTATCAAAGGGGAAGGTGCGTGACAAAAATCCATGTAGTATGAAAATACCTAATGTACATATTCTGCCTCACAATAAAAGTCAGTAGTCTCTTCTAGATTTAACTCTATGGATACAGAAAGATACATGCAAAATAAGAAGTTTGAAAGAGATTGGACTGGATAAGATATACTCTTCAAGGCCTGGGGTGCAGCTCAGGGATAGTGTGCCTGTATAGCAGGCATAAAGCCTTAGGTTCAATTCTCAACACTAAAAATGATACTTCACACACATACACACACACACACTTATTTCTGGAACTTATGTTTTTCCTACTCTGTAGGTTTTTTTTTTCAAAGAGACCTTTCCACATGAGAGAAAGGACTATACTCACTCAAAAAATAATTGTGTAGAATTCCATCGTGTTAGTTGGAACATTTGCTCTGTGTGTGTGTGTGTGTGTGTGTGTGTATCTAAGTGGAGATTAAACCAAGGGCCTTGGGCATACTAGGGAAGCTTCTGCCACTGAACTATAACCCCAACCTTATTAACCTCTTTCTTATACATTTATAGCATAAAAATGTCCAGTGCCAAATGGTCAAGCCTGGAAGCAGACAAACAGATATATAGTCATCCTTTGAAGCAGACAGACAGACAGACAGATATACAGATGGTCATCCCTGGAAGCAGACAGACATACAGATATACAGAGGTCATCCCTGGAAGCAGACAGACAGACAGACAGATATACAGACGGAAGAGGTCATATTTAGAAATAGATATGTATATACATATATGACTACAAAATTAATGAAAAATCTAGGTCATAAATATGTAGGAGGGTGGAGAGGGGGTTTATGAGAGGGTTTGGAGAGAGGAAAGGGAAGAAATAAATTTTCATCCCAAAACTAAAAAAAAAAAATTGAGAAACATGAAAGATTAGAAAAGTGCAGAGAATTGCAGAAATCACTTATTTACCCAAAAGTCAATGTTAGTATTTATATCAGAAACCTGCTCCCCCTTCAGCTATAAAGACCCGCTGGATGTGTGCCAACCTCTTCCTTGAGATCAGAGTCTCCCTTCTACCTCTTTAGTCCTCCCCCATCCCCTCGGAGTTAGTCACACACTCAGTTCTTTCAGCCCTCAGAGCACTCTAAGCCCAGCAGATGGCCTCTGCATGCCATTTTCCTGCCTCGACTGGGACTCTGCCTCTTCTTTTCTCAGGGGAATCAATACCTGAGATCTCTAAGGAAACTCCTTCTAGTTGCTTCTGTGAGTATAGGGATACATTGCTCAGCCATTTAAAACATTATTATGAACTATGCCTTCTTTGGAATTTTCGTCCCAATTTATGCAGATAATGGAAGATTTTATCTTTGTTATGATCTTTACACGTGCCACAGAGAATCAGGCAGACAGGAGAAGGAGGGGGTGTCTACTGCTGCCCATCCAGGAGATCACAGCGTGTGCTTGAGATCACCTGGCTCATACCCTGAGTCAATGCTGCTCAGTACCTCAGAGACTCCTGCATAGGATCTTACCAACCCCTCAGGCACACCGTCTTCTGTGCCCACCAGCACACTCTGAGAAGTTCACTGTCTCCTGTCTCTTCCCATTTCTTTCACTATGAGGGGATTGGGCCTTTTCTGGTGTGGTCTAATGTTTCATGTGACAAAAATGTCTCCCCAAGTCAACCAGAATATGGCATCCTAAATGCGCAAAACTTAGGGAGAAATGAACTGAAGTATGGAATTGTTCCACTTTCTAACCTGTGGGTAGAAATGTTGGAAGAAGCATAGAGACAGAGGGGTAATGTTTTTCCTCTTACTACACGTGATCTGATTATATCTAAAGGAAGGGGAGGATTGAGGTGGGGTGGATTGTGTAATAGTGACAGCCAGAATTAAATAGATTTGTGAGTCCTCCAACAGGAACAGGGAGCCCAAGTGTGATCCCAGTCTCTCAGATCTGGCTGGCTGCTGGGGATATTCACGGTTCTAGCTTATGCCATTACCTAGTGGTTGAACAGAGAGTCAACTCCCAGCCTTTGGACTCTCAGAGTCACTTCACGGAGGAGAGTGGCGAAACCAGTTACCTCCCCACTGTTAGCCTGAAAGCCCTTGGGTGGAGCCATCTGTTATTTAGGGAGCATCATCATCCCGCTTTGGCTCGACAGCAGGGAGTGCAATAGAGCAGCAAAGGACCCGCCTCTGCACACGTTATAGGCTGAGATGTCCCAGTGAACAGATGCACCCCCCACTCTGATCACTGGCAAGTGGTAACCTCAAGTCAAGACACCACAATGATTTTTTTAAAGACGCCTAGAAGTAGAGAATCTGGAATAAGAGGGTAGGCAGTACCAGTTTGCTGTCTGCGGCTTCCACACTCTTGGCATTGACTGGGACCAACTGCATTTCGTCTCTTCTGAATGTACACAGGCTTTGCTCCTATTGTTACTCCCCTGGGAGTGAGTCTGGTAACTTTTTACATCGTATTTGCATGGCATGAAACATGACAGTTAATATATAGCCGACTGACACAGAAGGGAGACTATGCACAGATTATGTGCAAATAGTTATTTCATTTCACAGGAGGGATGGGAGCGTCCTGACTTTGTCATCTGTGGGGGGGTCCTGGAATTAAGCCCTTGTGGATCTAAAGGATCCGCTCTCTGTAATCAGTTTTCTTCCCTCCCCGCCAAGGCCGAAGGGAGCGAGCGGGTCCTCAATTATTTCATTCACTTCCACCCTTCACACTTCAAGAGGAGGCGAAGTGATCAGATAAGATATGGTAAAGAAGCTGAAAGTCAGAGAAAGAGGCTGTCTGTGTACCTGCCCCGGCTAATCAGAGGATCTGTCAAGGAGAAGTGTCCTGGAGAGTGTCCACCGCAGTTAGGCAGAGGAGATAGTAACACGGAGTTGTCTGAGAACTAGCTCTCTAGGAGGAGGAGGGCTTGGGTGGAACTTGAAATAACTGGCAGCTCTGGACAGGACAAGAGGAGGGGGCGGCATCTTGGGTGACAATGGAGAGACAGAGAGATGCTAAAGGGGCTGATGAACAGAACGGGGTGGTGCAGAGAAGAAAATCCCCTAGTCAGGAGAGAGAATTATTCTAGGAGCCAAATACTACAGAATCAGAGTCTAGGGGACTATTTCATCAAATCATCTGGCAATCATTTAAAGGCTCCCTGCCTGCTAAAGCCAATGCAACGAGGAAGCCTTGAGTCCACACAACCAAACACAAGCAAGTCGTTCACACCCACACAAAGAAGCAGAGTGAATGTCAAGACCCCAAATGTGACTGTTTGAAAGCATGAGGTCGCCATGTCAGATTCTGCCAACAGGAAAAGGACAGAGAGCATCCATATAGCCACACGGTTGCTTGATTTTAGAGCAAGAACTGGAAGAGCAGGGGGGTACCCAGAGTCGCCGTTGCACGCTGCGTACTCTCACAGGATGCGCGAGGCACGTATGAGTTCTAGAGTTGGAAACATGGGGTACATTTTTTTTCTTGGCTGTGCCACATCAGTGGGAGTGTGAATACTGGCAAATTGCTGGGCCTCGATTTCCCCATCTGTAAGACGGGGATAATGAACACAGTTACCTCTCTAGATCCTAAGACATACCATCTGCAAAGCACGGAGTCCATGGCCTGATATGAACTGCTCAGTCATGTCTAGCTGTTATGGTGGCCGATATTGTTTTTGTTATCATCTGCCATTCTT